ATTTGTATGGAACCATAAAAGACCCTGAATAGCCAAAGCAATCTTGAAAAAGAAGAATAAAACTGGAGATATCACAGGGCCCCTGAGTGGCTCAGTCAGTTAGGTGTCTGCCTTTGGCTCAGGTCATGATCCCTGGGTCCTGGGATTGAGCCCTGCGACGTTGGGCTCCCTGATCAGCAGGGTGTCTGCTTCTCCCTCTCCCTCTGCCCCCCTGTTCGTGCTCTCTTTAGCCTCTCTGTCAAATAAATGAATAAAAAAAAAACTGGAGATATCAAAATCCCAGACTTCAAGATATACTACAAACTGTAGTAATCAAAACAGTACGGTACTAGCACAAAAATGACATATAGATCAACAGAACAGAATAGAGAGCCCAGAAATAAACCCATGATTATTTGGTCAATTAATCTTTGACAAAGGAGGCAAGAATATGCAATGGGAAAAAGACTCTTCAACAAATGGTGTTGGGAAAACTGGACAGTTACATGCAAAAGAATTAAAATGGACCACTTTCTTACATCATACACAAAAATAAACTCAAAATCGATTAAAGACCTAAATAGGAGACCTGAAGCCATAAAAATCCTAGAAGAAAGCACAGGGAGTAATTTCTCTGACATTGGCCACACCAACATTCTTCTAGATATATTTCCTAAGGCAAGGGAAACAAAAGCAAAAATAAACTATTAGTACTACATCAAAATAAAAAGCTTCAGCATAGCAAAGGAAACAATCAACAAAACAAAAAGACAACCTACGGAATGGGAGAAGATATTTGCAAATGACATAGCCAATAAAGGGTTACAATCCAAAATATATAAAGAACTTACACAACTCAACACCAAAAAAACGAAATAATCCAATTAAAAATGGGCAGAAGACATGAACAGACATTTCTCCAAAGACATCCAGATGGCCAGCAGACACATGAAAAGATGTTCAATGTCACTCATCATCAAGGAAATGCAAATCAAAACCACGATGAGCTATCTCCTCAAACCTGTTAGAATGGCTAAAACCAACAACATAAGAAACAATAACTGATAGCAAGGATGTGGAGAAAAAAGGAACCCTTGTGCACTGTTGGTGGGAATGCAAACTGGTGCAGCCACTGTGGAAGAGAGTATGGAGGTTTCCTCAAAAAGTTAAAAATAGAATTACCATATGATCCAGTAACTACATTAATGGGTATTTACCCAAAGAAAATGAAAATGCTAATTCAAAAAGATATATGCCCCCCTCCATTTACTGCAGCGTTATTTACAATAGCCAAGATATGGAAGCAACCCAAGTATCCATCCATAGATGAATGAATGGACAAACATGTGGTACATATAAACAATGGAATATCATTCAGCCTAAAAAAAATGAAATCTTGCCATTTGCAACAACAGGGATGGACCTATAGAATGCTAAGTGAAATAAGTAAGAGAAAGACATAATACCATACGATTTCACTCATATGTGAAATTTAACAAACAAAACAAATAAAGAAAGAAAAAGACAAACCAAAAAAACAGACTTTTAAACATAGAGGACAAACTGGTGTTTACCAGAAGGGAGTTAGTTGGTAGGGGGATGGATGAAATAGGTGAAGGGGATTAAGAGTACACATATTGGGATGAGCACTGAATAATATATAGAATTGGTGAATCACTGTATTGTTCACCTGAAATTAATATTACACAGTCTGTTCATTACAGTGGAATTAAAAAAAAAAAAAAAAAACCCAGCCAATTGACCTACACAGCCCAATCCAAGAATTACTAGATACTTGGTGCTAAGCCACATGAATTTTATTCACAAATGAAAAAGAATGCAAAAAGATCAATTTGCTTAAATTTTCCTAAGGGACAACTCTGTTCTAGACCAGTGATAAGGGCAACTCCAGGGTGTGCCACCTTTTTAGATTCAAAGCCAAGAGGAAACACCAATGGTCACTCCTGGAGCCACTGTCGGTGGTGGTCTGGAGTGGACCTTATATCCCATATCTGTTTCACTCCCTGCCTACTGTCGGTGGTGGTCTGGAGTGGACCTTATATCCCATATCTGTTTCACTCCCTGCCTACTGAAAAACAGCACTGCTGTTTGCTGACCTGTCAGCTCAGGGATGGACCTGACTGATTAAGGGATAATCCCAAGTGACTGATTCAGGAATGGGCATGGGACCCAATCCTCGCCTAAGAAAATCCAGAAGAGGTTGCCGGAAGTTTCTGGTGGATGCCTGCAGTCAAATCCAGACCCTGCCAGGGCTCTGGTAACAGCTGGATTTTACTTGCAAATGGAAAAATGCAAGTAATCTCTTCAGAGAGTTATGAGAGAACAAACTATCTCTTAACCTGAACATGAACAAGGACGCAAACACCTATTGCTATGACAGCATCCTAAAATCCAACCATGAAAGAGGACGCCATGCATAAAAGCTAACACAAAGGAAGGAGGGCAGAGATAAGAGACTTACAGAGAACCAGAGCCTCAACTGTGCCCAACTGACCTCCTGACTCCACGGCAAACAAGTAATATTCCTTAATATTAAAGTCAGACAGAATCAGTTGTATTTTACTTGCAGCCAAAATCCCTAACAGACTGGTACTATTTTTATAATCAGAAAAATATATATATTTAAAATATCAATGAATAAGGGGGAAAAAAACAGGCCATGCTCAATAAGAGCTTATCAGAGAAATACTAATGATCCCTTCCACAACTTTTGCTGGATATTGCTACATACACCTCCTTCTCATACTATGTGATATTTTTAATTAAAACGGAGTCTGTACTTTCAGGAAATGCTCAGATACTCTAATCACAAGAAAAGCATAGTCAGGATCAGAAGCATAGGATGGAAAGGGGATTAAGGGATGGCACACTGCCAAGCTTCAGAGCCTTTCCCACTCCCCAACCCCCAACCTAAGCTTCTTTATCAATTTTCATCACAATAATAAATTGAACAGTTTAAAAATCATGGCAATATTGTCATCTTGGACAAGATGACCTCTTTAGACAGGGAAAATGTTTTACTGCACTCTACCAAAAGACCTATTTATTATTTTCAATGTCAGAACTGTCTTAATCGTTTACCACTGCCACCATCTATCTCCCTTCTCCTTATTGCTGAGTTTGTGTTGGTGTGGATAATTAGAGCTATTAGTTGGCATTCAGTCCAGAAGTTTTCAAGAACTAAAATAGGATCATTAGGGGAATTTTCTCAAATTCCTTCCTGACTGTAACAACACTAATGATGTGGGACTCTGGCCTACCCTTTCAAGTCTCTCTTTCTCACTTTTCCTGCCTCCTCACTGAACTTGGACCCACACAAGTTTCTTTTTTCTATTTGTATACCCAGGCTGTTTAATGTGGTAAAACACACACACACATGCACACTCACAAAACCAATGAAGGTGAGTGCCATGCACACCTATGGTCTTGAAAGTTACTGCCCCTCTGTCATCCTGCAGGGTCAGCTCCATCTCCCAACTCTGTTCTTCCAAGCCCCTGCACACAAACCTCCTGCAGGGCACCTTCCTGCCACCTTCTACCTCCTCTGCAGGCAAGAATGCTTCAATGTCCTACCCTCCAGCAGCAAACGTATTTACATTGCCAACCACCATCACGATATTTTTCCTTCTTGGGTCAGAGGAAGGAGCATGGCCACTCCTCCATAATTAATACTAAAATGATAACAAGAACACCCACAATGTACCACGTCTCTCATCTTACATAAAGCTTTATGCTCCCTTTGTGCTCTAGATCGCATTATCTCCTCTCCTTAGTCCATTAATCCTCTCCTCTCCAGCTTCTCGACTATCACTTTCCCCTCAAATTCAAATCCCTCAGACTTCCACATCTAGCCAAGATAAAGAAACAGTGAGATTTACCCTTCCACCTGAAACAACTTTTTTTAAAAAATTAGGCCAAAATATATGAAACAATGATTTTCCAGACCCTGGACATTAGGCAACAAAGGACAATGATGCCTGAAAGATGGGAAATACGGGTGATCCTTTGCTTACAGCCCTGAAAGCGCTTCCAGGCTGCAGCATAGGGAGGGGATCCTGGGTGGAGCCTGGTCAACTAGTCAAGTTGAAGAGATATGGCCTAGTCTTAAAAGACCAAAGTGAATCCACAGGACAGAGTGACAGGAGAGGTACAGAGAGAGAGAACTCAGGGGATCTGCAGAGGGTCCCGCTCGAGTACTCAGCAGAGTACTGGAGGGCCCAAGTGCATGATGAAACTACGGAGGCTGAAGGAAAAACCTGAAAGCATGAAAGACCACAGTAATCGGAGCTCCCAGAGGGCCAGAATGCTTGGGGACACAGATATTCCATCTATAGCAAAAGCCAAGAAGCAAGAGAAAAACCATAATTAAGTTGGACCTGCAACCTGAGAAGTACCGCAGGCCAACAAAAGTAAAAGGGCAGCATCATTTTATCCAGAATTACTCCATAAATTTTGGTGGCCTATGAGTGGCAGGGCAGGGGAGAGGGGCATACTACTAAGTTCCTTCCTAGTGCCAGGCACTTGAGAAGGTTCAGTAAAACACAGTCCCTGCCCTTGTGTACATTCTGTAGTCTTCAGGACAGATGCATCAACTCCCTCCTCTGAGATACTCCTTCAGCTTTTGGCCAGCAGCCAGCTAAAAGGTCCCCTCCTTGAAAAAGCCTTCCTTCATCCCTCTAGTGACTACAGAGTAGTCTGTTTTCCTTTCCTTACCGTACTCTTCACAATTTCTAATTATCACTTATTATTACTATATGATTATGATTACTTATTGTTTTGTCCTATGCACATTTAGAATATAAGCTCCATCAGCGAAGAAATCATGTCTGTCATCACAGCACAGCATATAACCACTGAAGATACTCAAACACTTCCTGAATTAATGAAAACAAGAGCTAAGACCAGGTAAGTTTTCTGATGATCAGCATTTCCTAGGCTAGTTAGCCCCAAATCCTTAGATTTGGTTCCCCTAGTTATGAAGGCGGATACAAAGTACTCACCTCTACCTGAGTCACATTGATGACCAGCACCACCACCATCAGCACTGCAAGCAGACAGCAGAAAAGCCGTAGTTTGAAGAAACTGATCCACATTGTCTGGCTGTGTCTTGATCACCCATGGCCGACGCCATGCTACCTTCACTCCTCAAAACTCCATGTCTTTGTTCTTCTGATCTGCAGACGAGCTTTTAGCTGAATTTGTTTCTTTTCTGCTAGTATCATTAAGAGTTCTTTGTATGGAGGAGAGGCTGGGGTTGATTTAAGAGGCACATTTTTCTTCAAAGGACTCCTTCAAAGAGGGAAGATGAGAATACAGATCACCAACTGCAACAGCCTAGTGTGTGGTAATAGGAAAGATGCCACACTTCTTCTTCCTTAACCCTCTCAAAGGCCCAAAGTCATGAGGGGAAAGCAAAGAGCCAGAGCACAGTAAGATCTGTTCCATATTCAATTTGCTCAAACCCAACCCGACTTCCATATAAATACAGCGATATTTGTCCTGTGAATTTTAGGTTTTAACTCTGAAGAATGTCTTCAGGGTGCCTGAGTGGCTCAGTTGGTTAAGCGACTGCCTTCGGCTCAGGTCATGATCCTGGAGTCCCGGGATCGAGTCCCGCATCGGGCTCCCTGCTCAGCGGGGAGTCTGCTTCTCCCTCTGACCTTCCTCCTTCTCATGCTGTCTCTCATTCTCTCTCTCTCAAATAAATAAATAAAATCTTTAAAAAAAAAATGTCTTCAAACCCTTAGAATTAGAAAATTAAAGTCACTGCTAAATTTCTAGAGGTCTAAGTAAATAAAATCACTCCCCTTCCCTTATAGTTCAAGTTATATAACACTCCTGAAGTAATTATATTTGATGAGCATTGAGAGGAAACCTGGTGATTTTATGCAGAGTTCTGGAAGACTGTGCAAACCATCCCGACCTCCTCTAGGAAACAAGGAGTGCTGTCCCCCTGCACAGCAGAAGACATGAAACACCCTTTGGATATCCAGCTCCCCCACCATATATGTAGAACTGATGATGCTTCCTCAGCTGCGTAACAGGGCCCAGGAGGGAAGACAGTTGCCCTGAAGATATAGGAAAGAAAAGCTAAGCCTGAGGATTAAAAAGAGACCCAAATCCTTCATCATAACTGCTAGAGGCAGAGGACTTCACAGCCTGCCGCTCCTACCTGTTCCCCCATAGAATGAACTCAAAATGCTTTCCCCAGTTGTTATTTCAGTATAGGTAAACAGAAAAAAATACTAGGATTTTGTTTCTACCTAGACTCTCCATGGAGGGCCGGGTGGAGAAGTCAAGGTGAAAGGGTGCACAACTATGGCGCAGAGGATCTCTGAATACCTCAGCTGCACCAGAGTTCCCTGCAGCTTTGTACTGGACCTGGCAAGCTGTTCTCCTCCCTCACTCTTCCACTCCGCCTGTCTAATCCATTCCCATGCCACAAGGACCATGACAACTCCTCCTCACCTCCGCTTCATAAAGGAGACAGAGCTAAGCTATTCTATCTTGCTCTCCATCCTCAGAATTCCCACAGCATTTTCTTCTCACTTCACTTCTCAGCGTTTTCACTCCTCTGTATTTGTACGTATTTCCTGTGCCCCCAAGTAGACTTATACCAATTATGATTTAAAAAAAAAAAAAAAAAAAAAACGGAAACCAGGGGCGTCTGGGTGGCTCAGCTGGTTAAGCGTCCAACTGAAGGTACTCAAACACTTCCTTGGTTTTGGCGCAGGTGGTGATCTCAGGATAGTGAGATCGAGCCCAATGTAGGGCTCTGTGCTCAGCATGGAGTTGGCTTGTCCCTCTCCCTCTGCCCCTTCCCCCACTTGTGAGCTCTCTCTCTCAAATAAATAAAAATCTTAAAAAACAAAACAAACAAAACAGGGGGCGCCTGGGTGGCTCAGTCGGTTAAGCGTCTGCCTTCGGCTCGGGTCATGATCCCAGGGTCCTGGGATCGAGTCCCACATTGGGCTCCCTGCTCAGCGGGGAGCTGCTTCTCCCTCTCCCTCTGCTGCTCCCCCTGCCTATGCTCTCTCTGTCAAATAAATAAAATCTTAAAAACAAAACAAAATACAGAAACCATGTATCAGAGAAAAAGCAACTTAATAATAACAATGTATCATACTCCTTTGATTCCCTCACAGCACCTCCCCCCTTACATGATATATGCTGATTCGACTATGCACAAAACAAAAAATTATGGAGGCCTACTCTGTACCACACACTGTACTCAGGGCCAGAAATTCCCACGGAAAAGCTTACACTCCTATTAGGCAAGAGGTAGTTCCTCTCCTCAATTAAATAGGAATATTTATTCCTCTACAGGCTGTCACCTCTACAGGGATACCAAGCACTGTGGAAGACTGCACTTAAGCATTTGATGACCCCTCAACCCCGCCCCTCTGTAACACCCAAGCACCCACTCACCCCAAAGTGCCAGTAAATTCTGGGAAGGAATGGCTATGAATTAGAAGAAATAACTGTCATCAGGGCCCAAATGCTCCTCCGTAGAAACCCTCTCAAGGAGGTGGCCATAAGAATCATAGGCTTCCAGGGGCACCTGAGTGGCTCAGTCGTTAAGCGTCTGCCTTCGGCTCAGGTCATGATCCCAGAGTCCTGGGATCGAGCCCCGCACCGGGCTCCCTGCTCCGCGGGAAGCCTGCTTCTCCCTCTCCCACTCCCCCTGCTTGTGTTCCCTCTCTTGCTGTGTCTCTCTCTGTTAAATAAAATCTTAAAAAAAAAAAAATCATAGGCTTCCCTCACACCCAGAGAGGGAGAAGACCGAAGATGATACTCGACCGAGATTCAGCAGCACAGCAGTAAGCACGGTGTGTGTACTGCGGAAACAGCAGCAGCTTCGAGAAGGTCAGTGTTATTCAGAGCCAGGTGGTAGCAGCGCAGCCGAGGTCAGGGGTGCAGCAGCAAGGCAAGGGCAGCAGACTCCAGAACTACGGGGACTAGAGGGATGCAGGCAGCAATGCAAACATGCAAGAAACCCCTCACGGCCAAGGATCATTACTGGAGGGGCATGCCAAGAAAAGACCCAACTTCCTGCTAGGAGAAAGTAGAGCACTGAGGCTTGAGAGACCCATTTGTGTATCTAAGTGGATGTGGCTTGAGGCGACTTAGACCTCTCTTTGAAAAGATATATATTACAATGTTGATAGTTGTTACCTCTGCACAGCTTTTTTTCTCCTTCATCTTTACCTTTGTGTCCTAGTTTTTCACCAGGAAATAAAAATTACAAATAAAAAGAAAAAAGCAGGTTTCTAAAAGTAATAATTAAAGACGAGCCATAAGGAGAAACAGAGCATTAAACCAAATATAGGAAAACAATTCAATTTAAAATGAAAAATTTCAAAGGGAAAGAAGGAATCTCTAACTGTTCTCTACTGTTTTCCTACATATAAAACCTAGGCATTATAAGAAGAAAGTTATTTGCAAAGACAGCAAGACAGTATCATTCGGTATCTCAAAGTGCCTTAGAATTGAGTAAAAACAAAAGTGCTAGATGGGAATGACTCTAAGGAAAAGTTTCCTAGATCAATGGAAAATAAAAATACATTACTGAATGTTATGTACCTTTTTTTTTTTAATTTCCAGTTCCCAAGAAGAGATGCTTATTAGAACTAAGAGATTAGAGCTTACCTCTAACTTTCCTTCCAGTGTAAAGTCCTGAATTCAAGCAATCATGACAACGCTTCTTCTTTTCTTGCCACATTCAAAGCACGGGTTGATGTTTTCTCATTTTTATACCATTCTTCCTGCTGCAACAGGGATACGCATATGACATACAGGTTAAAGATACTGAAATTAAGGAAAACATATTTGAAATAAAGAGTACAATTTTATACCGAGATGCACATAGATTTCAGTATAACATAGGAGGAGAAACATTTCCTTTACTACTAATAAAAAACAGTGGCTATTTATGTATGTTGTTGCAACAACCCTAGACTGCCCTTATGTACCTGACATCCTACCCATCTCATAAGAGAATTACAGAGTGATTGCTTCATCACCGGGAATTAAAATTGTCAGTAACATCAATGAGATAGTTGAGTTCAGTACTAAAAAGAAAATTAGGCAGCAAACCCCTCCTCTAGGGAACTAAAGTTCTTGGACAACCATTTCACAAAGACAATGTATTACAGGATAACCACACATCCAGTTTCTGGGACAGTCCCCATTCTAAAAACCCTGAACTGCTATCCACATAAATATAATTGTACTTGCCAGACCAAATGTCTAGAATTTTAATTCAGAATACATGGACCCCCTATATAGAAGACAGATCACAGATTTACATGGAATATAACCAAACTTAAATATTTATATATCAGGGGCACCTGGGCGATTCAGCCAGTTAAGCATCCAACTCTTGATTTCAGCTCAGGTCATGATCTCAGGGTTGTGAGATCAAGCCCTGTGTCAGGCTCTGCATAGAGCCTGCTTAAGATTCTCCTCTCTCTCTCTTTCTCTCTCCCTCTGCCTCTCCCCCTCTAAAAAATTATTTATCAAACTTTCCAAATTGCCCCTGTATAACTCATAAACACAGAGAACAAACTGATGGTTGCCGGGGGGGGGGGGGGGGGCAAAATAGATGAGGAGGATTAAGAGGTACAGACTTCCAGTTACCAAATAAATAAGTTATGGGGATGCAAACATAGCATAGGGAACATAGTGAATAATACTGTAATAACTCTGTATGGTGACAGACAGTAACTACACTGATTGTGGTGATCATTTCATAATGTATATAAATGTCAAACCACTATGGTGAACACCTGAAACTAATATAATATTGCATATCAACCATACTTCAATAAATAAATAACAAACAGCAGCTATATTTCACAGGGTGCTGGGTAAGACCTGAAACTTAACAGGCCAGGATCTATAGAAAGAACTGGAGACATATCCACAAACATGACAATGATGGGTCACTAAATAAGGTCAACCCTTGGACAAAGAAGAAGCACAGCAGAAGTCTGCAGGACTTGTTTCCCCTGATCCCATTTCTCTTTCATTTATCACCACCTCACACACCCAAAGTGCTGACTCACCACCCAGGCCTTCCCTTGCCCTTCTTCCAAAGCAGCACCCCATGCTTTCATGGGGGGTTGGAGGGGTGGAGAAAAGCAGATGAGAAGTAAAGAAATCAGTTAAATAAGTCACAGAGTAGTAAGTGCTGTAAGAAAAAAATAAGGCACACTGATAGGCTGTGTTCTTTAACCTTGCATGCATATTAATATCATCCTGTAAGCTTTTAACAATGCCAATGCTTAGACTAGACTCAATTAACTGAATTGGAATCTGGTGGGAGCAGGGTCCAAGAAACAGCTTTTAAAAAAAAGGTCTCCAAATGATTAGAATATACTGCCAAGCAGGGGAACCACTAGTATGAGGTGGCCAGAGGGGTTATTTGTATCAGTGGGTCAGGGATGGCCTTTCCAAAATGATCTCTGAATTGTAACTTACACTGCCCCCTCGGGACAATCCGATTCCAGGGTAACAAGGACAGCCAACCTCGCTTCAGTGATCTATTCCTTCGTTTCCCATCTCAGTAACAAATAGCAGCACTGTATCAGGCCAGAGACTGTGAAGGAGACAAGAGACTAAGTACAGTCAAAGGAAAGCAGAACCCAAACACCTTGGAGGAAAGCGTGTTGCTGCCTCCACTGCATGGAATCAGACAATTAATGATCAGGGTCTGGGAGTCCCGCCAGCTTCAAGTTACACCCTGATGTTCCAAATGATAACCACACTGAGGAAGGGGAAGGCCCATTGAGCAATGTGATTCTTCATCTTTAGGAAATTGGCAGCAATTCTCCTTTAGAGTAAATAATGAAAAGAAAGGAAAATTTTACAGACAATTACACACAAAATTCGTATAAATCCTGACGGAGAATGCCACTTACCACCACCCTACTGGCCTTTGATCAAGCGGAGTTGAGTGACAGACCAGGGTTTCCACATCACACCTTGCAAAGTCACACGCTTCTCTCCCCATACGACCTGAATCTGATGTCCCAAAGCGTCAGCTCAATAATGTCAGAAGAGTCCAAAGTGTGAGAGCATCGCCAGACAAGTGGCAGCTGGGCCCCGGGGCAGCAATGAGACCGGAGAATGGGGCTGAGGAGGGAAGCGTAGCAGAGTGCACCGCACCGGGTTAGGGAGAGGTCTTTAGCGGCTGCACCTGCCCGCCTTGCAGCAAGTCCAGAAAACTGAGCGCGGAGATGTTCGCATCAGCCTCGCCCTCTCCCTGCCGGGACCCGCAGCGGCTCGGGCAACTCAGGTCCGAGGCTGCGGCAGCCGGAGGCTGCAATTCTGCCCCCGCCTAGGGCTGAAGCCTCCCCTTTCTGGTTCCAGAACCTCCAGCCGTGATCCCCGAGTCTGCAGCTCCTCTGCACCAGGCCGGGGACTCAGGAGTCGGCGCGTGCGGAGGAAGGGGCTTCGCAGACTAGAGGCGCTCGCGAGGCGCCAAGCAATGGGTCGCTCGAGCGGCAGGTACCCAGCCCGGCGCCTGCGCACAGGCCGGAGTCCCGCACTCACCGCCAGGCCCAGCTGTCCGCGGCGCTCTCTCCGGTCGCTCGGCATTCGGACGCCCGGATCTGGTGCCGCTGCGCCGTACTGCCTGGCCCCTGCTTCCTGGCCCCGCTACCTCGCCTCACCCCCGACCCCTGGCTACAATTGGTTGAATCCCAGGAGGGGCGGGCCGAGGGCACTGACTGACAGCCGCGGCCGCCCTGCGCGGAACGCTGAGCCCCGAGGCGAGGCAAGCGCTGTGGGCGCCGCTCGCGCTCGGTGCCGCCTTGCTTCTGCGCGCGAGGGGGTCGCCCCGCTGTAGCCCTGTGGCCTGAGCTCTGGCCCTTCTCGGGACCGGCTTCTTTCGCCTGCGAACGTCAGGGTTTCCCAGGGACAATCTGTTTCAAGGCTTTTTTCTTGTCAGCGAAAGTGACCAAACCGGAGAAGCCCCTACTCGGGCCGTCTTTCCCGTCAGTGGCGGAATGTATTGTTTCCTCTGCCAGAAAAAACACCACTGGCCGTGCACGAGCACTGGGACGACAGGTCCTTACATCTTGCCCTGCTTGAAATTAGTCGACTTACTCTATTTGCCCTTAAAACAGCCCGTTCCTTTTACTCTTCCTGTACATAACATAGGTCTTCTGACAAAAATGCCTGCATACGTTCCCTCCCCCCCGCCCCAATTCTGGGTTATCCTATTTTGGACATCCCTCTAAGCCGTAAGACGTCCACGACTATGTGAAATTCAGAAACTGACAGGAGTCCTTGGAAGACAGATGGAGGACCTGCTCAGGAAGCCGGAAGGTACTGCGGACTGCTCTGTGTTCTTCGGTGCACGGTGGGGTTAATGGAATTTATCCCAGCGAAACGCAGACTCTAAAAATAGACCTACCCCCAGACTATTATCTCAAGGTTGAAGAAGAAGAATTAATACAAATTGCAACTAACAGTAATTATTTTTACATTTACTGACCACAATGGACTCTACGTGCTTTTTCAGATGTTTTCGTGACAGGACTACATGCATGGGTGACTAGACCTACAAATGGAAGAAAAGGAGTTTCATTCTCCTTCCTGGAGAAATCCAGCCTTCCAGGGCCTGTTCATAGAAGGTGGCTTCCGTTGCCTCTGTGCCAGATGAAGAACCCCATATGATAAACTTGTGCTCTAAGTCCTGTCTCCCAGACGCCCCACCACCTATCTTTTACAGTTTGTCTGCCTGGTAAGTGGCAAATACTTGAACAGGATACACTGACTTCTAGGTCATGGTTTTGGACCACATTAGTGATCTCTGATAACCCCTTTCTCACACAGGCACTCATAACCCTGAAGCAGTTGAGTCATCTTACCTATATACAGCCATTTTAGCCACAAACGAGTGGCCAGGACCAGAGAGGCCTGCCTATCACTACCGGATATTTTCAAATAAATCTGACTGCAAAGTCACCACACTCCCAATGAAAAATACTATCATACAAAAATATACAATTTGGACCTTAGCCTGACTGGGGCTGACACACAGCTCTGCCTCTTACTAGCAGTGCCATCCTAGGCAAAGGACTTAACTTCTCTGGGCTCAGTTCCTCAACTGTAGGTTAGGGGCAACACTACCTGCACTTAGGAATAAATGAAATGACAAATGAAAAGTCCCCTAGCACAGTGTCCCAAATCTCTTCCTCTTAAATTCCCTACCTCAGGTTATGACATGGCATAAGGAATTTCTGAATAATACATTTATGATAATCTAACTTTGAAAGCTGGAAAAAATGAGAACATAAGGTTTGTATGTCATGATACAAAACCAAAGGAACTGTTCATTTCTGACCCATTTGCAAAAAAGCTTTTTTTTTATAAGATTTTATTTATTTATTTGACAGAGAGAGACAGTAAGAGAGGGAACACAAGCAGGGGGAGTGGGAGAGGGAGAAGCAGGCTTCCCACGGAGCAGGGAGCCCGATGTGGGGCTTGATCCCAGGACCCTGGCATCATGACCCGAGCCGAAGGCAGACGCCTAACGACTGAGCCACCCAGGCGCCCCTGCAAAAAAGTTTAGATGCTAATGTTATTAAATTTTATTTCTCTAAGAAAACAAAGCATGGATCTTAAAGTTAGATAAGCAAAAAAAGCAAATTAAACCTGTTTCTGATGTAGCTAATTTGGGGGATATTTACCAACAACCTGGCTCCATCTCTGACAGCAGAAGCTTGGGGACAAGCACTTCTGAGCCCATGTCAGTTCCTGCTTGTTTGCTTCTGAACCCTTTGAACAAGTGACTAAAATCTGACCCCCAAGCCCCTCAAACCATTGTTCAAAATAAGTGACTACTGTCATATTAGGTACCAAACACCCTATTTCCATAACACCATGGACCATGAGAAGATGCTGCCAACGGTAGGAGACTAGAAGGAAGAGGAATTTGGTGCCTGTATGAGTCTGTTCAGGCTGCCGTAATAAAATGCCATAGGCTGGGTGGCTTAAACAACAGAAATTTATTTTCTCACAGTTCTGGAAGCTAGAAGTCCCAGATCAAGGTGCCAGTTGATTCAGTTCCTGGTGAGAGCTCTCTTACTGGCTTGGAGATAAACACCTTCTCACTGTTTCCTCCTTTTTTTTTTTTTTCAAAGGAAGTGTGTGAGTGTGTGTGTGTGTGTGTCTGTGTGTGCGCGTGCGCGATTTCCCGGGTAGAGGGGCACTTGGAGGCCTCAGGAGCTCTGCTGGGCAGTGCAAAAGAGCTTCTTCTCCTGCTACTTCATATCCTGTCTGGATTCTTCTAGCTCTCCAAGCTGGTCCTCCTTCTCAGGTGGCCATAGCTCCCTCTTGTGCTGTATGACATAGTCCTCAAACCACCTGACCTGACTGGCAATCCAGAACATAGCCACAGGGAAGGTTAGGTAATGCGTCATCTGAAACACCTCCAGCTTCACTCCCATCTTGTTTCTTTATCCCCCCTCCTCTTATAAGGACACCAGTCTCATTGGATTAGTGCCCCACCCTTATGACCTCATTTAACCTTAATTGCCTCTTGCTGAGAAAGGCAGTCTCATGCATGCAGTCTTTCATACATATGGCCTTGGCCTGGAACACTTCCTTACCAAAAGATGAAAGAGTCCTCACAGCTTGTGCTGGAATTTTTGCCCTGTGTGGGACTTTCTTCGTGTAGTCCTTTATTTTAAGACACCTGAGAATTCCTTCGCCACTTCCACCCTGCGAGGACACACTAAAAAAACAGCCATCTATGAACCAGGAAACTACCCTCACCGGACACCAAATCATCTGGTATCTTGATCTCGGACCTCTCAGCCTCCAGAACTGTGAGAAATAAATTTATTTTGTTTATAAGCCACTCCATCCCTCGTATTCTGTTATAGCAGCCCAAATGGACTAAGACCCTTATACTATCCACTCAAAACAATTTTCCCAAAGCCACTTAGGTCATCTCCCTTTTTCTTACCCCTTCAGTGAATTTATGTCATACACCTGTAATACTTAGATTCAGTCGTCATAATGCACACTCCATCCTAAGATCCCCTGACATCTACTTGAAATTTTGGGGGTAAAATTTACATATAATAAAACTTCAGTCCTTATGTACTATTCTATTAGTTTTAAAGGTCAGTATGTGAGGATAAAGAGGTCAATTCATCAAAGATCTAACAATTATAAATATTTATATATAAATATTAGATATTATGTATATAAATATCAGATATATTACATAAATATATAAAGCAAATACTACCAGAACTAAAAGGAGAACTACAGAGCTATACAATAATAGTTGGAGACTTTAGACGAACCATGAGAGACGATGGACTCTGAAAAACAAACTGAGGGTTCTGGGGGGGAGGGGGGTGGGAGTATGGGTTGGCCTGGTGGTGGGTATTGAGGAGGGTACATTCTGCATGGAGCACTGGGTGTTATGCACAAACAATGAATCATGGAACACTTCATCTAAAACTAGTGATGTAATGTATGGGGATTAACATAAGAATAAAAAAAATTAAAAAAAAATAGTTGGAGACTTTAATATTCCATTCTCAACAATGGATAAATTATCCAGATAGAGAATCAATAAGGAAACAGCAGATTTGAACACTACAGACCAAATGGATCTAACAGACACATACAGAACATTCCACCCAACAGCAGCAGAACACATTCTTTTCAAGGGCACATGGAACATTTTTCTAGGATAGATCATGTTAGGTCACAAAACAAGTCTCAACATATTAAAGAAGATAGAAATTATATCAATTATCTTTTCAACCACAGTGAAATGAAATTAGAAATCATTAAGAGGAGGAAAACTGGAATATTCACAAATACATGGAAATTAAACACATTCCTGAACATCCAATTAATAAAAGAAGAAATTAAAGGGATATAAAAAAATATTTTGAGACAAATGAAAATAAAGACAAAATACCAAAACTTATGGGACGCAGCAAACAGTTCTCAGAATTGTGTCAACTATATTCAAACTTAAAAAATTTATTTTAGGGGACACCTGGGTGGCTCAGTCGGTTAAGCGGCTGCCTTCGGCTCAGGTCATGATCCCAGGGTCCTGGGATCGAGTCCCACATCAGGCTCCCTGCTCGGCGGAAAGCCTGCTCTCCCACTCCCACTCCCACTGTTTGTGCTCCTGCTCTCGCTATCTCTATCTCTGTCAAATAAATAAATAAAATCTTAAAAAAAAAATTTATTTTAGGGGCAGCTGGGTGGCTCAGTCAGTTGAGCATCTGCCTTTGGCTCAGGTCATGATCCCTGGGTTCTAGATTGAGCCGCTCATTGGGCTCCCTTCTCAGTGAGGAGTCTGCTTCTCCCTCTCCCTCTGCCCCTCGCCCCCACTCGTGCTCTCTAATAATACTATCTTTAAAAAATTTTTATTTTAAAAATAAAAGCATCAGAGCAGAAGGATCTATAAGGAGCAGAATAAAGGGGTAAAAGGGTAGGGCAGGGAGGGAGTGATAACTGCTAGATGATCAGACTTGTGAAACTATTTGGGGTAATCTTAAATGTATACAGCGGATCTAGTGGAGCATATGGAAAAAATAAGAGTGGGTATATAGCAGATCATGGGACTGAAAAGAATAAGGCAGTTTTTAATTCCAAGAAATTTTTTTAAAATACAAGAAAAGATGGGGCACCTGGGTGGCTGAATCGATTGTCTGACTCTTGATTTTGGCTCAGGTTATGATCTCAGGGTCTTGAGATTGAGCCCCACAAATGACTCCACGCTCAGTGGGGAGTCTGCTTGAGATTCTCTCTTCCTCTCCCCCTCCCCCTACTCACATGCACACATGCTCTAAAATAATCTTTAAAAAAATACATATGTATATATATGAATGGAAATGTAATCATTGTATAATAGTACCCTATACAGTAAAATATATTTACTTACATAATAATAATGTAAAGACTGAATTTTGACTTCACTAAATTTATGGCCATTATTCACAGTAGGAAAAGGAAAGGAAGAAATTTGGAGGATGGTACAGAGCCAAGTCCTCAGTTATCATAAGAGGAACTCAGTTGAAAGTGTCTAAAACTTAGGGATCGGTCAAAACAGTATACCAAAGTTAATACCAGAAGAGATAGCTCAGAGGTAGCGTGGGACAGGGCAGGAGACTGCCATTTTTCATTATTTTATTACTATGTGCATGCATTATACTGTAAACATTTTTTAAGTTGATGAAACAAAAAATAAAATTTTGTATGATTTTTTAAAATTAAAAAGGAAGCAGTTCTCAAAGGGAAGTTTATAGTGATAAATGCATACATCAGGAAAAAAGATCTCAAATAAACAGTCTAATTTTACACCTCAAGGAATTAGAAAAAGAACATATTAAACCCAAAGTTAACCAAAGAAGGAAATAATAAAGATTAGAAAATAAATAAATGAAACAGAGAACAGGAAAAGAAAAGATTAATAAACTAAGAGTTGGCTCTTTGAGAGATAAACAAAACTGACAAACCCTTAGCTAGACTAACCATGAAAAAAAGATAGGACTGAAATAAAATTATAAATGAAAGAAGAAATATTACAACTGATACCATACAAATACAAAGGATCATGAGACTACTATGAACAATTATACACCAACAAATCAGACAACCTAGAATAGAGAAATTCCTAGAAACATACAATCTACCAAATCAGAAAGAAATGAATAAGGACTAAATAGTTTTGTGTGTAAACAGCCACCCAGGCCCCCCATCTTTTCTTGTATTTTAAAAAATTTCTTGTAATTAAAAACTGCCTTATTCTTTTCAGTCCCATGATCTGCTATATACCCACTCTTATTTTTTCCATATGCTCCACTAGATCCGCTGTATACATTTAAGATTACCCCAAATAGTTTCACAAGTCTGATCATCTAGCAGTTATCACTCCCTCCCTGCCCTACCCTTTTACCCCTTTATTCTGCTCCTTAGAGTAGATTCTTTTGCTCTGATGCTTTTATTTTTAAACTAAATTTTTTAAATTTGAGGGCGCCTGGGTGGCTCAGTTGGTTAAGCGACTGCCTTCGGCTCAGGTCATGATCCTGGAGTCCCGGGATCGAGTCCCGCATCGGGCTCCCTGCTCGGCGGGGAGTCTGCTTCTCCCTCTCCCACTCCCCCTGCTTGTGTTCCCTCTCTCGCTGTGTCTTTCTCTGTCAAATAAATAAATAAAATCTTTAAAAAAAATAAAAATAAAAATAAATTTGAATATAGTTGACACACAATTCTGACCTAGAAATATATAATCTGCCAAGAGTAAATCAGAGAAGATACGTTCATTACATTACTCCTTTCTGCCCGTGGACGCCGCCGAGTAAGCATCGTTAAAGTCTCCCCTCCCACCGCTGTCATGTCTAAGTCAGAGTCTCCCAAAGAGCCTGAACAGCTGCGGAAGCTCTTCATCGAAGGTTTGAGCTTTGAAACAACCGATGAGAGTCTGAGGAGCCATTTTGAGCAATGGGGAACGATTACGGACTATGTGGTAATGAGAGATCCAAACACCAAGTGCTCCAGAGGCTTTGGGTTTGTCAGTATGCCACTGTGGAGGAGGTGGATGCAGCCATGAATGCAAGGCCACACAAGGTGGATGGAAGAGTTGTGGAACCAAAGAGGGCTGTCTCAAGAGAAGATTCTCAAAGACCTGGTGCCCACTTAACTGTGAAAAAGATTTTTGTTGGTGGCATTAAAGAAGACACTGAAGAACATCATCTAAGAGATTATTTTGAACAGTATGGGAAAATTGAAGTGATCGAGATCATGACTGACCGAGGCAGTGGCAAAAAGAGAGGTTTTGCTTTTGTAATATTTGATGACCATGACTGTAGACAAGATTGTCATTCAAAAATACCATACTGTGAATGGCCACAACTGTGAAGTAAGGAAAGCCCTATCTAAGCAAGAGATGGCTAGCGCTTCATCCAGCCAAAGAAGTCGAAGTGGTTCTGGAAACTTTGGTGGTGGTCGTGGAGGTGGTTTTGGTGGGAATGACAACCTTGGTCATGGAGGGAACTTCCGTGGTCGAGGTGGTTTTGGTGGCAGTCGAGGTGGTGGTGGATATGGTGGCAGTGGGGATGGCTATAATGGATTTGGTAATGACGGGAGCAACTTTGGAGGTGGTGGAAGCTATAATGATTTTGGCAATTACAACAATCAATCCTCAAATTTTGGACCCATGAAAGGAGGAAATTTTGGAGGCAGAAGCTCTGGCCCCTATGGTGGTGGAGGCCAATACTTTGCCAAACCACGAAACCAAGGTGGCTGTGGTGGTTCCAGCAGCAGCAATAGCTATGGCAGTGGCAGAAGGTTTTAATTACTGCCAGGAAACAAAGTTTAGCAGGAGAGGAGAGCCAGGGAAGTGACAAGGAAGCTACAGGTTACAACAGATTTTTTTTTTTTAAGATTTATTTTTTGACAGAGAGAGACAGTGAGAAAGGGAACACAAGCAGGAGGAGTGGGAGAGGGAGAAGCAGACTCCTTGCTGAGCAGGGAGGCCAATGCGGGGCTCGATCCCAGGACCCTGGGATCATGACCTGAGCCAAAGGCAGACGCTT